AAACAAAAAAGTTAGATTTTTGATTTTAATGATAATAGGAACCACCCTAGAATTCATTGTCATAAAAATGAGGGCCTAACTATAAGGAACAACTTTGTAGAAGAGACTTTTAGTCTAAAGTTTCAATTTCAGGCTCAAAACATATCATTCCAGCTAAATCTGCATTCTGTACCACTGTGCACTGTTCCTGCAGGCCATTAATCCAATGTTTGACGCTGTTCCCAACAACGTCCGCGTCCTCGTCTACGCCGACGATATCGTTTTAGTGGCTACGTCAAAGCATCTCCCCAGGGTCCGAAATGCTCTTAAAAATGCTGACTCTGAGTCAACTGACTCTATCAATGCTTGGGCTAAAAGTGTCCGCTTCTCATTGTCCGCTCCAAAATCTTGCATTATACACATATGTACGAGAAAAAGGCATCGATGGCGCAACTCTCGCAAGGATATCAAAATCGGCGATGAAACCATTCCGGAAGTCAACCTTGCACGATTCCTTGGCGTCTGGATCAATCGTAAGGGAGATTTTTCGGCCCACGCAGCGAAAACAAAGATGGCTCTACAAAATCTGATACAATACATAAAAGCCATAGCACCAAAAGCCACTAGATCATCGTTATGGAAGATCGCAGACTCCACATGCATGTCCAAACTACTATATGGAATTGAACTGTTCGGTCTCAAGCTGTGCGACTCTTTTCAAAACCACCTTCAATCAAATCGTTAGGATAACCTCGGGAGTAATACAGTCGTCACCAGTTACCAGCCTGGTTATTGAAGCAGGGGAACTACCACTCAATCTGCGTATGACTGAAACACTCATACGCAGATATTTCCGAATAGCAGAGAAATCAAAGTTAGACCATCGAAACCTTCGCGAAGCGGCAAATTCAGCACTTCTCGACGAAACCAACATGCATATTCCTGACATTGCGAAGCTTCATCGTGTTGCTAATCGACCGTGGCACAACGGAGGAATCAAAGCGGATTGGTCGATTAAGCAAGCATTTAAAAAAAAAGGTTTACCCAACACATAGCTGCAACGACCGCCAAGGCGTACGCAGTGCTTGGATTCATCAAACGAAACACGCAGCAGTTTGAAGACATTCATTGCTTGAAAAGTCTCTACTGCGCGCTGGTACGCAGCATACTTGAATATGGAGTGCTGGTGTGGGTGCTATACCATGTCGTTTAGATTAACCGGATCGAGCGTATTCAAAGGAACTTTCTTCGATTTGCACTTCGTTTACTTCCGTGGAATGATCCGGTTCGATCACCACCCTACGAGCATCGCTGCGCCTTGATACATCTACCGACCTTGGCTAATAGGAGGATCCTGTTGCAGCGGCTTTTTATATTCGACATCCTGAAGAGCAACGTAGACTGCTTAGTACTGCTGAGCAATATAAATGTAAACATTCCGGCCAGAACGATCAGACGTGCAGATTTTCTCCGCACTCTTTATGGACAGAACCATCCGTTTGATGTTTGTTGTCGTCGTTTTAATGAAGTATTTGTCCTTTTTGATTTTAATATATCTAAGACAATGTTTAGAAATAGGATTAGTGAATAGCCAGGATTAGTGAATAGCAATATCTGTCTGTACGATCAGTTCGAAGACTAGTAAAATTAATAAAAAAAATAAAGTAACCGATAATGAACGATCGTCGGTCGTAGCTTGTTGTGATGTAAGGGGCACGGTGGCCTTAGAGCGACCGTTATTGCTTACTGAGCAGAAGATCGTGGGTTAAAACCCAAGCCTCTTTACAATACTGAGTTGATAGGGTCGCGTCATTTGCTTAACAGGTTTTAAAAGATCCCTTCCCACTAACAAAAACGTCCTTCCGCGACAATCGTGGAGATGCAGAGGCATACTCGGTCTCTAGTAGTAACGGTTGTTGAAATAACAATCCTTTCCCTCCCCGCTAACCGTAAGGACGGGGCCGGCGCCGTTATTGATCTCAAAAATATGGATTCATCGGATTTTGTACACTGAGAATGGATTGCTAGTACCAGGTCCCATTCATATGGTTCTTTGTGCAAATTTCGCTCAATCTGGTCTATCACGCCTACTAAAACGCCATTTTGAAAAAAAAAAATAACATGATCCAAATTGGTAGAATTTTTGTAGAAATTTGAATGATTAACATACAATAATGCTAAGTTTTATGCAAATCGGAGAAGAACAAGTTTTTCCGATTCGTCATTTGACGTGGAACTGCTCTCATGCGATACCTTAAATCACATCAGAATCATCTGTTAAATCACATCATATGAGCACTTTTGGTGGAATTTTTATGAGTAAGTAGGGTCAGATTGCAGCATAGGTGGATTCATTCAGGTTTTCTCCTTTGTGCAGTGCATATCGTACTAACCCTAAGACCATGGGATCCGGAAGAAACAAACTCAATATTTTGGCTCAGGAAGTACCAGACCTTCAGTCCCAACCTAATTGAAGCCCTTTCGAAACGAAGGAAAATAAACGAGCTGCTTATTAAACTCTGTAAAATGTATAAGGCAAAAAACAGATTCTAGTACGACAATTGAAATGTACTTGGGATCAATAGGCTAGTCAGGTAATGAAAGCCAATTAAAAAACGGTAGTTTCGTATTAATTGCTCGTAGTACCTCATTACTATGGAAAAGTAATGAGGAATTCATTTTGAAACAGTTAACATACGTAGGGGAACTAGGGGCAAGAAGGTCACCCTAACGATAGAGCTTTTTTATATGTGATTCCGTGAATATTTATAGGAGTTTGTGAATCGAATTGTAAGTTTATAACCTTGTCTCCATGTATCATCATTGAAATTAAAATTAAACCCCATCAAAAAATGTTAATGATTTTTTCAAAATGTCATGTCAAACCTGCTCTTAACAATGCAACGGGGCAAGAGGGCCACTCTTATGGGGCAAAAAGACCATGTGTCTAAAATGAAGTGAAACTGATAAATGTTCATTTCTAAACAACAAATTACTATTCTTAGGTATAACAGCCAGTGATGGAAAAGTTCGCGAAAACTTACTATGACTCGCGAACTTTTCCCTTGGTGAACTTCGTGAAACATCGCGAACTTTTCCAACACTGATAACAGCAACTGCTTTTATTGTTTATACCACTAAAATATTGACTTAACGATATATTTGTTTATATCTAAAACATTTAAACCATGTGCGTCAAAGATTCAAATGGAAACTATTTTTGATACTATTTTATACAGTTTGTTTTCCAAAATTTCACGAAAACAATGTATATTGGAAACATAAATGCCCAATTGTGTTAATTTCTGAACATTTTTGTACAATTTAATATATAAATGTAGGGGTGGCACTTTTGCCCCGTATAAAGTTTATTTTTAGGAATATAATTTTTGATTAATTAAACAAAATATTTAATAATTTATTGTTATTAATGTATCAAACAACCATCAATAGTGATGTTTCAATGCAGAAATTGTGAAAAAAATAAATTGGAAATTCCGAAAACTTTATTTTATGATGCCTTATTCTTATAAAAAACTAGCTTTTCAATGCATCAACACAAAATGATTTTTTGCATTTTTTTTTTACGACTTCGATTCGGACAGAACTTTTTAGAATGCTTCATAGGAATACCGTGCATATGTTCATCGTGAGATAAAATTGAAATGATTTCTTTTTCAAAATATATTGAGGGTGGCACTTTTGCCCCTAGTTCCCCTAGGATACTTTTCTCCAGTGTTGGCAAAATCAGAAATCAATTGATATTTTTCCACTCTCATGCGCTCGCAATATCACGCAATATCATGCTTGATATCGATTTTACAAGCTCCTTTGATATTGCGAGACTATTCATAACGTGCAAAAATCAAGTTGAGAGTTGACTCGACACACAAATGATTCCATTGCACATCGTTTTCTTAGAAAGAGAAAGCATAGTTCGCTATCTCTTTTTAATCTTCACCGATGGCAGACGCGAAGGGACTGCTGCAAGCCGTTAAGGCCGGCGCACAATGGATACGTTTTCAGGTTTTTTGACGCCCATGCATTATCTGTCAAAAAACCCGAAAACGTATGCATTGTGCGCCGGCCTTTATGGAAGTTTCGGTTGCATTCGGGTGTAAAGCAAAAATCATTAAACTCAATCTCACTACAGTTTGGTGAGACTTGCAGCTGGTGAGTTTTGTTAGCTTCATATTCCGAGCTGCGATGTCACAGCTTGCAAAATCAACCGCAGTTGTTTGCTTGTTGATTTTTGTCTACGAAAATCAAGCGTGATATTGGGCGTTGGTGAGCATGCTTGGCATACACAGTTTTCGTCACGAACTGCTCATTTGCTAATAACTTTGCACACAGTTGACGGAACATACTTCTTTTTGAAGCAATAGATAGAATAGAGTGTAAGCTTGTTATAGATATGTAAAAAAAAAAGTATATTTTAATGCTTGTAGTAAACTGTATTTGTTTTTGCGTTGTAAAAATGAGGTGAGAAATGCTCACTACACATCTCAGAATTTAAGTGTTAAATTGATTAGTGTTGATTCAAATATTAAGCTTCACCTAATCTTTGCATATCTATAGTAAACTATGAGCCTAATCTATCAATTACTTTAAAGAAAAATAAATTTCAACATCTGAGTGAAAAGTTATTACCAAATGAGCAGTTGGTGTGTACAACTGTGCATGCCAAGCATGTTGGTGAGATTTGATATTTTGATATTTTCCAATCACTGCTCTTCTCACAAGAAGCCTCATTTAATTGTGATGTTCCGTATCATTTGAAAAGCTCTGGGACGAAAGTGATATTTGACCATGCATCAGAACTCTGGTCCGAACCTTTTCTTGTTTCCAATCTCAGTTCCTCGGATACTCTGCAAATCGAGCCTCATAACCGTCAACAAGAAAATATTAGGGCCAGAGCTCGATGTGGTAGATCTTACACCAGTATCGCACCACCAGAGGTTAATCTTACCACTGGAAAGGTCGGCCTGTGTTTTAAAATCATTTCAAATGACTATACTCACCTCATCACGCGTGAAATCCACCGCCAAGAATCGGGACGATCTCCTGCTGGACGTTGTCGATCCGTCATCGGATCCATCTATGCTTGCTCTGATAACTTTATTCATAGTCGCAGCTTGTTCGCCCTAGGCTATGGTAGCCATATTGAATTAACCTTTGACCAAAAAAGAAGACGAAATATTATAAATTTAGGTGATAAACTTGGCGACAATTTGAAAGATAATCGAAAAAATATTCCAACGACTGCTCCTATCGCGATCACTGCCAAGTGTATACTGGCTTTCCATCGATCATAGTACACCGTGTAGCATCGTTGCTGTGCTCTAGCGGTAAAAAAACATCAACAATAAACCGTCAAGGCAATCTTGTTCTAAGTTCGCGTCGTTATGGAGTCGCTTCGTGCTGCTTCGCTCCTCGGTTGTGATTCGACGCCACGTGTTTTTATCTGTTTGTTTAGCGGTTTGGCGCGCGTCGTTTTTGTTTTGCTCGCGAAAGGCTTTGTTGTTATCTACAACCGCTACGAGATTTGATTTAGCATTTCTTTATTGAATGAGCTATTTTATTCAAAACCATATGTTATTTTATGAACAGCTTATGAAGTCATATAACTGACACTATCTATGAAATACCTTATCTTCAGCTCAAAATACTTACATGCTCGCAATTTAAAATAATTAGTCACCCGTTCACTCGAGTTATTAATGTAAACAAAGCGACGCTCGACGGCGCATGAATCGAAGCAAAGGGGGACGCTCGGTGCCTTGGCAAGGGAGGTCAGCATAGTGCAATTAACCGTTATCTACGCAGCTACCTATCGATACAGCTGTTGGAACGTGTCGCGCCGCTACAGAGCATTCTTATCGTTTCCGTTTAGATGCGTTGGTGGTGTATATTCGCTTCTTTTTGCAACATATGGAAACATCACCACCTACTTAGTTGGCTTGAAGGAATTTCCTTACTCTAATCTATTAGTACCCGTTTATCGTACCTTTTATTCCATTGTAGTGGCCTTTCCTTGCACTAGAGCGGTGAACTTCGGAACATTCAGCAGACAGCGAGGTCCACTATCGGGTTTTAAAGTTTTGCCACGTCTTCGATTGCACTTTCTACTAAACTGGTGAATGATGGAAGCTTAGCAGGGTTGATTCAGCCCGGGACGACAACGGTGTCAACCGAGAGATGATAACAGACTGGTGCTTCGATTCGCTGTCTAGCCGGAGAGGTGGCTGCAACATGTATACCATAGTATAAACAAGTTTACTGCTTGAGTGGATACACTGTTTTGGTATGTGGGATGGGAACGTGTTAGTTGCTCACTTGCTCGTCAGTCAGTGGGACACTTGTTGGAATATTGATTTTTTTATGCGAAGACCGGAAGGGTCAAAGTTCCATGCGAAATAGGTAAATGGCTAGATTCGAGTCTTGATGAAGCTTTGTCGACGTAAAAATAAACTTTGTGCTAAACATAATCCATTATAATTGTTTTCGCACTGCCAATTACAATAAAAATGAACCATTTTGAATGTAACAAAGTGCTAAATTTTATAATAGAGTATCATACCGACATATTGGAAGCAATTAAACTTTGAAAATTACTAATTTTTATTTTTTCTGGTTTGGATTATGTTTAGCGCAGAAGCCAACTTTGGTGCAAAATGCAGGATATATTTTGTAATTTCCCTAAATTAATTTTAAATTATTTTTTTTGGTGTAGCTGATCTGATCTATTCTCCTCATCGATATCAGAGATAAGTTTATTCCAACAATTAAATAAAATAAAATATCGCCGTTATAAATGAAACGTTCCTTAAACCTGACCACCCAACTAACAATTTTCACAATGTAAACGCTATGCTCTTTTCATTTATACAGCCTTAAGGTGTATTCAAATGGTATAAGATATGAGGTAACCTTTACTCAACCTCTATAAAAGCAAATCTGGTGAACTATACCAGCTTCTTATGGCTGTTGGGACGGATGTGGCAAGCTCTTATTGCATATCCATTTACGCTTCTATACAGCTGTTATTCTGCTGTTTAGTTGTGTGCAAACTTGAAAGCCGCTTAATTCAACCTTTTCCCGATTGTCCAATGGTCACTATACAGCTTGGTCCTGAAGCCGGGTTAAATATTGATTACTTTTTTCTGATTGGGGAGTTTATTGATTTTATTTAGCAGCGAATCAAATTACTCTAAATTAGGTATAAGCCGATTTATAAGCACACCACCAAATGATTACCCTGCACCAGAACCTAAACTCGAACTCAAGACGACTGCATTGGCAAATTTTGATACTACCAACTTCACTACGCCAACACTTTGAACTGACGTAAATAAATCTACATGACCTTCTAGGCTGTGTAATAGTGCACATGACTTACTTTTCTTCACTAGTTAGTTCAGTATTGTAAAAGAGCGGAGTAAAAGCAGAGGAGCGGAGTAAAAGAGCAAGGCAAGTGGCTGGTGATGGGAAGGTCCATGATTCGAATCCCATGCAACGACATGCATATGTATGTAGTTCATTTTCTGATATCTGTGTGTTCGTAATCAATCACTACTTAAAGAATAACTTGCGACAGTTTTTAAAGTCAAACGCACGCCTTTTGTCTAACCGGTAGATGTACGCGGAGACTTGAAGTATGTCTTCAAGTCTACAGGCAAAAGATGTGCGTCCTCCTTTTGCTCATTACTGACTGCGCCTGTGAAATAGTTCTAGCGGCGTTTCATCACTACCTAAAGCCCCATGTTGCGAAAGCATTTCCAGTTGATGGTGTGTTAGGGTTTTTGATCTAATTTCCTTATTACTAAGCACAACTCGCGCTTTACCTCTCTTTTCTGAACGAGTTTAAACAAAAAATGGAATATTTCTGTCAAAGATGGCTTCTAAATTTATTCACCTTTCCATACGTACCGTTGGATTTGACAAAGAGTCACAAATTGTTGAGATATTGTTTAAAATCTAATACTGCTTCTTGATTTTAAATTCGTTCTACAAGTTTCAATTCCGTCCTAATGCATTGAAACGCCATTAGATTTTCTTCGTTCTACGGATGATGGTAGAAAAAGTGGATTCGCTAGGAGCACTTCTTTTGTTTTCAGAACAATGAATGTAAATATTCATACAATGCGCTCTAACAGGATTTATGTTGAAGCTAATGAACAAACGCATCGGAATAAACCTATTATTGATTTGTGCACGGTGAAATCATTGATATTATTGATCTTTTCTGATCGTTAGAACGGAAATGGGCGATTACGACGAAGTAGCGCTCTACCCTATAATGCAATTCTTCTTTACTCAACTATTGTGTTGTTCCTCTCGTCATGACCAACTTGGTCATCTCAGAGAGAAAGCAGTAGGGTGGTTGTTGCGTGCGTACCATTATCAGCATTGTTGACGGCTACTCCCGCCTTGAGTTGTTACATTCAAAGTGTTTTTTTTTTATGTTACTTCATATGTGAAAGACATACTTCAAGTCTCCGCGTATATCGTACGGGTTAGGCAAAAGATGTGCGTTTGACTTTATATTGTCGCATTAATGGCCCGCCGCTAAATTTCAACTTCTATTAAATTTTCATATTGCCGTATTCTAACGGAACTATCCACCTGCCCTCTTCTAAAGATCATTCTCTAGCTAATAAATTATCACACTAAAGCTTCATGTTAGCATTTCCAACCAACTCTGAAAATGTTAGTTGGGCAGTCATCAAAACGAAAAATTTGAGGGTTTTAAATCGCCAACATAGTGGATGAGCAAAAAACTCTGCGCATTATTTTTTTTCAAGAGTTGATTGTTTCACTTGCTATTTCAGCATGTTTGGTGATTCCCATTTTTTTTTGATGAATCAGTGACTTAGCACTTGGCGTTGGCAAAACTCTCGCGAGATATTTTTGCATTCGCTCATTCACATTCGCATTCGCTGCATATATAGCTCTGTCAGTGATGACGTTAATCAGTAGAAGTTTTGCCGCTGGACGCGACTGACTTTATTTGCATTTGTTGACCGGTTAGTAGTTGATAAGAAAACATCGGAAGTGAAAAGTTTTGTTAAACGTTATGCACAGAGGATAAGTAAGTTTTATGAGAACTGAAAAGCACATGAAATGGAAGTGTGTAATTGAACTCTTCATGGGTTATTGTGAGGCAATAAAGATCAAGCGATAGATAATTGAGTGCTATAAATAGTTTCGCGGTTTGGCTGAAAAATTCAGCGTTCAACTGGTTGGTGATTCACTAAGTGGGACGAAATCAATGGCTTGATGGGTGAAGTACATTTTGACTACAAAATGCATTCTCATTTGGTTAACACATTGACTCTTTGAATGTGTGAGGTTATAACAATATTCAGCATTATTTATACATCATCAGTAATAGGGGAACATGTCCCTTCTTATGATTCCATGCATTATTTCCTGGGGTAACATATCCTTATTAAATTTGACCCCAGGCCATTTTGAAAGGCAGTAACTTTTTTTTTATAGATGGATTTTACTAATTTTTTCATGACTAGGTGTGTCAACCACACGGGAAAAAAAGAGTTCCCATATTCGTGAACCACAGCCGTGAACCATAGTTCACGGTGTATATTTGAGAAAATTTTGTTGTGGATAGTTGGCCGAGCAGAGCTCTGTAATATCAGATAAAATGTGCTCCAAAAAACTTGAAAACATATAGGGGAAATGGCTCTAATATTGGCCTATAGATCTAAGATTGGGCCCATCGCTAAAAATCTGCTATTTATCAATTTTACCTAGATGAACGCGTCATTGGGACCGTTGATGGATATTTTTGATCGCTATTTTTTGTTTAAACTTCGATTGCACTTTCTACTAAACTGGTGAATGATGGAAGCTTAGCAGGGTTGATTCAGCCCGGGACGACAACGGTGTCAACCGAGAGATGATAACAGACTGGTGCTTCGATTCGCTGTCTAGCCGGAGAGGTGGCTGCAACATGTATACCATAGTATAAACAAGTTTACTGCTTGAGTGGATACACTGTTTTGGTATGTGGGATGGGAACGTGTTAGTTGCTCACTTGCTCGTCAGTCAGTGGGACACTTGTTGGAATATTGATTTTTTTATGCGAAGACCGGAAGGGTCAAAGTTCCATGCGAAATAGGTAAATGGCTAGATTCGAGTCTTGATGAAGCTTTGTCGACGTAAAAATAAACTTTGTGCTAAACATAATCCATTATAATTGTTTTCGCACTGCCAATTACAATAAAAATGAACCATTTTGAATGTAACAAAGTGCTAAATTTTATAATAGAGTATCATACCGACATATTGGAAGCAATTAAACTTTGAAAATTACTAATTTTTATTTTTTCTGGTTTGGATTATGTTTAGCGCAGAAGCCAACTTTGGTGCAAAATGCAGGATATATTTTGTAATTTCCCTAAATTAATTTTAAATTATTTTTTTTGGTGTAGCTGATCTGATCTATTCTCCTCATCGATATCAGAGATAAGTTTATTCCAACAATTAAATAAAATAAAATATCGCCGTTATAAATGAAACGTTCCTTAAACCTGACCACCCAACTAACAATTTTCACAATGTAAACGCTATGCTCTTTTCATTTATACAGCCTTAAGGTGTATTCAAATGGTATAAGATATGAGGTAACCTTTACTCAACCTCTATAAAAGCAAATCTGGTGAACTATACCAGCTTCTTATGGCTGTTGGGACGGATGTGGCAAGCTCTTATTGCATATCCATTTACGCTTCTATACAGCTGTTATTCTGCTGTTTAGTTGTGTGCAAACTTGAAAGCCGCTTAATTCAACCTTTTCCCGATTGTCCAATGGTCACTATACAGCTTGGTCCTGAAGCCGGGTTAAATATTGATTACTTTTTTCTGATTGGGGAGTTTATTGATTTTATTTAGCAGCGAATCAAATTACTCTAAATTAGGTATAAGCCGATTTATAAGCACACCACCAAATGATTACCCTGCACCAGAACCTAAACTCGAACTCAAGACGACTGCATTGGCAAATTTTGATACTACCAACTTCACTACGCCAACACTTTGAACTGACGTAAATAAATCTACATGACCTTCTAGGCTGTGTAATAGTGCACATGACTTACTTTTCTTCACTAGTTAGTTCAGTATTGTAAAAGAGCGGAGTAAAAGCAGAGGAGCGGAGTAAAAGAGCAAGGCAAGTGGCTGGTGATGGGAAGGTCCATGATTCGAATCCCATGCAACGACATGCATATGTATGTAGTTCATTTTCTGATATCTGTGTGTTCGTAATCAATCACTACTTAAAGAATAACTTGCGACAGTTTTTAAAGTCAAACGCACGCCTTTTGTCTAACCGGTAGATGTACGCGGAGACTTGAAGTATGTCTTCAAGTCTACAGGCAAAAGATGTGCGTCCTCCTTTTGCTCATTACTGACTGCGCCTGTGAAATAGTTCTAGCGGCGTTTCATCACTACCTAAAGCCCCATGTTGCGAAAGCATTTCCAGTTGATGGTGTGTTAGGGTTTTTGATCTAATTTCCTTATTACTAAGCACAACTCGCGCTTTACCTCTCTTTTCTGAACGAGTTTAAACAAAAAATGGAATATTTCTGTCAAAGATGGCTTCTAAATTTATTCACCTTTCCATACGTACCGTTGGATTTGACAAAGAGTCACAAATTGTTGAGATATTGTTTAAAATCTAATACTGCTTCTTGATTTTAAATTCGTTCTACAAGTTTCAATTCCGTCCTAATGCATTGAAACGCCATTAGATTTTCTTCGTTCTACGGATGATGGTAGAAAAAGTGGATTCGCTAGGAGCACTTCTTTTGTTTTCAGAACAATGAATGTAAATATTCATACAATGCGCTCTAACAGGATTTATGTTGAAGCTAATGAACAAACGCATCGGAATAAACCTATTATTGATTTGTGCACGGTGAAATCATTGATATTATTGATCTTTTCTGATCGTTAGAACGGAAATGGGCGATTACGACGAAGTAGCGCTCTACCCTATAATGCAATTCTTCTTTACTCAACTATTGTGTTGTTCCTCTCGTCATGACCAACTTGGTCATCTCAGAGAGAAAGCAGTAGGGTGGTTGTTGCGTGCGTACCATTATCAGCATTGTTGACGGCTACTCCCGCCTTGAGTTGTTACATTCAAAGTGTTTTTTTTTTATGTTACTTCATATGTGAAAGACATACTTCAAGTCTCCGCGTATATCGTACGGGTTAGGCAAAAGATGTGCGTTTGACTTTATATTGTCGCATTAATGGCCCGCCGCTAAATTTCAACTTCTATTAAATTTTCATATTGCCGTATTCTAACGGAACTATCCACCTGCCCTCTTCTAAAGATCATTCTCTAGCTAATAAATTATCACACTAAAGCTTCATGTTAGCATTTCCAACCAACTCTGAAAATGTTAGTTGGGCAGTCATCAAAACGAAAAATTTGAGGGTTTTAAATCGCCAACATAGTGGATGAGCAAAAAACTCTGCGCATTATTTTTTTTCAAGAGTTGATTGTTTCACTTGCTATTTCAGCATGTTTGGTGATTCCCATTTTTTTTTGATGAATCAGTGACTTAGCACTTGGCGTTGGCAAAACTCTCGCGAGATATTTTTGCATTCGCTCATTCACATTCGCATTCGCTGCATATATAGCTCTGTCAGTGATGACGTTAATCAGTAGAAGTTTTGCCGCTGGACGCGACTGACTTTATTTGCATTTGTTGACCGGTTAGTAGTTGATAAGAAAACATCGGAAGTGAAAAGTTTTGTTAAACGTTATGCACAGAGGATAAGTAAGTTTTATGAGAACTGAAAAGCACATGAAATGGAAGTGTGTAATTGAACTCTTCATGGGTTATTGTGAGGCAATAAAGATCAAGCGATAGATAATTGAGTGCTATAAATAGTTTCGCGGTTTGGCTGAAAAATTCAGCGTTCAACTGGTTGGTGATTCACTAAGTGGGACGAAATCAATGGCTTGATGGGTGAAGTACATTTTGACTACAAAATGCATTCTCATTTGGTTAACACATTGACTCTTTGAATGTGTGAGGTTATAACAATATTCAGCATTATTTATACATCATCAGTAATAGGGGAACATGTCCCTTCTTATGATTCCATGCATTATTTCCTGGGGTAACATATCCTTATTAAATTTGACCCCAGGCCATTTTGAAAGGCAGTAACTTTTTTTTTATAGATGGATTTTACTAATTTTTTCATGACTAGGTGTGTCAACCACACGGGAAAAAAAGAGTTCCCATATTCGTGAACCACAGCCGTGAACCATAGTTCACGGTGTATATTTGAGAAAATTTTGTTGTGGATAGTTGGCCGAGCAGAGCTCTGTAATATCAGATAAAATGTGCTCCAAAAAACTTGAAAACATATAGGGGAAATGGCTCTAATATTGGCCTATAGATCTAAGATTGGGCCCATCGCTAAAAATCTGCTATTTATCAATTTTACCTAGATGAACGCGTCATTGGGACCGTTGATGGATATTTTTGGTCGCTATTGAAAATTTAGTCGATTGTTGAATTTATGTATGGGCCCAAATTAGGGACATTTAGGCCGACATTACATCCATTTCCCTTATATTGAAATAAAAATATTGAAATTTTTTCGATGTTTGTACCATGAGGTCAATTTGACCTCAAATTAAAATTTCCATATCTGAAATTTCAAATGATTTGTAAAAGTAAATTTCGATGACTTTCTGTTTAAATTATCAGATTTTTTTTTTTGGAGGGGCAGATCTCTCGGTGGGAGGGATCGTTGTAAAAATATACCCATGAAGGGGCACATTTTTATGTTAGAGATGATTGTATCACGAAATTAGGGTGGTGCTTGCTTCTGCAAAGATATTTAAGAATATAAGGTCTTCAAACCCAAGGGGGGCGACTCTATCTACGATGCAGGAAAAATCGTGTTCTGCTGTGGTTAGCTGCGCGCACGCTGAGTAGATAGAAATAAGATTGATGGCGACAATACACACGCTATCTACAGATCCTGCTCATATGGATGCTTCCCGTCTTGAGCAAAGTTGTTCTGATGGACAATACCTATCTTAAGAAACAGAGTTTTGTTCCGAATTCACTCACCAGGTGGCACTAGTGTGACATTATTTTTTAATTGTTTGTCCTAACTTAACATCTTGACTAGATAGAAGGTTCCCGTCTTCGACAGAGTTGTTCAAATGAATAAGACTCATTTTATGACAAAGAGATCAGCTTATAATGCACTGACCAGGCAGCGCAGGTTTGACATTCATGTTTCATTGATTGCCCTAACTTAACATATGGACTAGAAAGAAGGTCCTCGTCATTGGTAAAGTTTTTCAGATGGTCAAGGCCTATTTTATTATAAAGAGTTCTGCTCAGACTCAACTCACTAGGTGGTGCTAGTGTGACAATAATTTTGATCTGTAGATAGCGTTATATAATGTATAGTTAAGATGGCGCAACTTGATCATATTCATTTAAGCGCCATCTAGTGAGTAAATTCTGTCATACGCTATCCATAGTTTTGAAGACCTTGTATTCTTAAATATGTACTCGGATCTCGTGATACAATCATCTCTAACATCAAAATATGCCACTTTAGGGGTATATTTTTACAATGACCCCTCCATATGAGAGATCCGCCCCCTGTCCGCGTTCAACCTTTGCTGAGATATGACAATTTGAATTTGGGGCCAGGGTACCGACAACGTTTTTTTTTTGCACAGACGAAGGATTAATCATCTATCTATTTTCTAGGAACATTCCTGATTCCGATTGAGCTGGTGAAAATTTCAATCTGAACGGAAATATATCTTTCCTGGCTACAAGCTAATAAGCTTTCATCACTCGATATGGCACCATTGACAGTTATGAATTGGAACTCGCGCTCAATTCGACGTAAGCAGGAGTACCTGGTTGACTTATTGCGGACATACAAAATCGATGTTGCAGTGCTTACGGAAACTCATCTTGAACCTAGCGCGAAGTTCTCCATCGCTCACTACAACATAGTTCGAAAAGACCGTTCGAATGGCCGGGGAGGTGGCGTGGCAATACTCGTACGAGATACGATAAACTTCCGCAAGCTTCCTGACGCTGGCACATCCATCATCGAGTCCATAGGTGTGGAGCTGGAGGATGCCACAGACGGGAAGTTAAAGATCTTTGCTGCATATTGCCCGAGTCAGTGTCAGCGTATCAACGGCACTAAGCGTCAGTTTGAGTCCGATCTCGATAAGCTGACTCGAGGAACATATCTAGTCTGTGGAGACTTGAACGCCCTCCACGAAGATTGGGGGAACTCGAAACATAACGAGAACGGTAATTTGTTGTACAACGAAGCTCAAGTGAATGATTTTACTGTGTATTTTCCGGATGGACCAACCTTCATCAATAATCAATCAACACTGGACATCTTGCTGGCAAATTTTGTAATCAATAAACCGTTTACAGTCAAGGTCCGCTATTCCGATCATTATCCAGTAGTTTGTGAAATAAAAAAAAATTTCGTCGACGCGAATGCTGTGGAGCTTAACTTCTATGGACACATTTGGCGTTCTTTCAAAGGACTGTTTCAAGCAGCTGGTGATGCTGTACAAGCGTTTCGTAGGACTTCAGTTGAAGGTGAGTTCAGTGATTTGGTATATTAAATGAACATTTTAAAGCCTCTTCGTTGATGACGTTATGAACTTAAGACCACAAACAACCAAAAATAACTCATTGAATATTTTTAACTGTAAAACATCGTTGCTAAAACACTACCACCATCTGTGGAGTACACTGTGACGGGCAGTACGCTCAACAGGTGGCGGTAGTGTGTAGACGTCAAAGGCTCATGGATAATGAGATCGATTCAAAATTGAGTTGAATTCATCTCAATTTTGCAAAAAGTGGACTTGCTCACAAAGTCAGTAAAATTTTCCGAGCTTTTCCAGTGAAAATTTCTCAAATATGAGGAAAATCGGGAGAAAAAATTTCTTCCACGTTCTAAGGCGCTATTTTAATGTGAAATGATAATAATCATTTTGCATTTGATACTCAAAATCTTATCCATCAAGATGAAGATGAATAATGCACATCCATCCACGAATGAAAAAAAACAAATGTTGACTTCGAAACTCAGACTTGATCAAGATAATGTTGTCATGTCAAAATTCATATTCACGCAGGTAGTTGGTTTATCTTTTAGGGTTGCCTTCATTGTCAGCTAATTTGAGTGTAGAAGAAGTGATTTTTATCAGCACTGGTCAGTTGACCCAACAAACGAATCAAATTCGTTAGTTGGGCCGAGGTGGTGTCCAGCAAATTTCAAATGTAGTACAATCACCGACAAACCGACATGAAACTTAAACTTAACTCTTGATCGAGAATCCATAATGGCCGATTAAAATGTGCAGCGATCCCATCTATCAAAACCATAGAAATGTTTAAAGGAAGTTCCGATAACTTCACAAAAGTCCAGAGAACGACCCAAATTTGAGTTTAGTTCACTCATAATCGCCAAAAGTGCAGGAACGCAGCGATGAGTTAAATTTGTCTCATGGTTTGCAGTGGAAAACCTACAAAATCTGCCGGAAAATGAGGAAATTGACGAAAATTTTATTCAGTCTTGGAGTAGTACCAATAGACTGAGTGAATCCAATTTTTACTTTCTCAAATTCGGGATTTTTTCCCTGGAAAAACCTGGGAAAACATGAGGCAAATTTACTCATCGCTGAGTTCCTGCACTTTTGACGATTATGAGTGAACTAAACTCAAATTTGAGTCGTTCTCATTCGCCGTGTGGATACCGATATACAGATAAGGTTCCTCAGAATACCGATTTTTGAGGTTTTATACCGATTTATACCGATTTTATTAAAATATAAAAATCATTATTGTCAGCCCACGCTCGAATTTCGGAGAAAATTATTGTGAGAGACTTGTATCCTTTTGAATTTCTCAAATTTTTTGAGCCAATAAAATTAAAAAAAAATCATGTCTTACGGATACTCTTGCGATTAATGTTTCAATTTCCTCACCGTTTTTGGCTACCCATGAATCAATAAACAGTCGATGGCTCTTTCTGGTAAATCCGGGGGAATCGGGAAATACGTTTTTAAACATTATTCAACTTCCTGAATTTTCTTCCAATTTACATCGTAAATTATTTTACGATTCCTCTCGGAAACATGTTTCGACTTTCCTTGGAAGTTTCTTCAACCTTCGCTCGAATGATTCTTCCATTCTTCCATCTTTTCCCGCCAGTTTTTTCAACTTTCCTGGAACTTCAGGGATGCTTCCACACTAGCTGCAGGAACCTTAAAGAAGTTCTGAAACTTCAGAAAAGTCCAGATTTTTGAGTAAGTTTCGATAAATTGAAGAATGTTTCAATAACTTCTCCGGTCCAGCGAACTCCAGTGAACTTAAGGAAACATCATAAATATTTGGGATACTTCACAATTTCAAAGAACTTCTGGAAAATTTAATGTTTTTCAGAACAGTTCCATTAGTTTCAGGAGAGTTGAGAGCACTTTAGGAAGCTCCGAGAACATCAGGTCAGATCAATAAATTTCAAGGAAATCGCTGAAATTCCGAACACTTCAGCAATGTTCCGAGGGGCTCATGCAAATTTAAGAAACGTAAGGGAAGTTACATGAACATTAGCTCATTGTGAGAACATTTTATGGGAAGTTCCGTGCTTATTGATGGCAGTGTTGATAACATTTAATAATTATAAAAATCGGGAAGATCAGAGAACTTTAATGCTGATGTTACAATAAATTCAAGAAAATTGTGAGAGAGCT